AGCGTACATTGACAGATAATCGCTCATCAATCAGATTCCGAACCGACCGGGGGTAAGGCCGAGTGCAGGCGCGGCGATGAATGGAAATCCGACTGCAGAGCGAGAGAAGTGCGTGGTCATGTAGAACGCAGACTCTGTTTTCTTTTTCTCGTCCAGTTTCTCTACTTCTGCTTTACGTTTTATATTGTGTCAAGGTGCTAATGTCGAGGGTGTGATTGTCTAGGGATTCATTGCGATATTGTGACGTTTGCCGTGTTAGCTAATGGAAGGTACGGTAAGAGTCTCACATTGTCTTGGGGCGATGGGGGTGAGGATACAATGAGCGATGAGAGCGATGAGTCGTGGATACGTATACATACCCTTTCTTTCTTTTTTCGCAGAACCTTCTGTTTTGGCACGGGCAGGCTCGCGTCGCATGTTGTCCTTTTTTTTCAGTCGTTTACGCAGCGCAACATTCATGGGGAGCCAGACGCGGCACGGTGTGGTGTGGTGCACTGTGTGCGGGCAGTGATCCGAGACGAACGTCGACGTATTAAATACATTTCAGGATTCTTCAATCCAGGATTATTCTTTATTAGACCATCTCCACTTATTTTTCTTTGCTCGTTTGAACGCGAACAAAGTGTGAGCTTTTGGGCGGGTTGGATTGAGGATTAAGGGGATACTTATAATGTTTTAGCTGTTGAAGGGTAGGTGGGTGGTATGGTAACCTGGACTGGACTCGGTCTGGAGTGGACTTGGGTAAGTGGATATGGGAAGTGGGAAGAGGGGCTTGCAAAAGGAAGCAGAACAGAGCAAGTTTAGACTAGGCAGCGCTACATGTCTACGTGATATGACAGGACATTCTGTATATCCCCATCTAATCCAATCCCAATCTTCTCTTCATCTCGGGTAGGTTATTGCAAACGTTGTCGCCTGCCAATTCATCCATCCATCCAGGTATAGACTATCCTCCTACCCTCCTAGCCGCCCTTTCGCACTCAGACTCCAAGCTCCAGGTCCGAATTCAAATGCAATTCCCAAGCCTTTGCTCCGTAATATCCATGCCCAACTCATACCCGTCTATCCCCCTCAAACCCCCTAACCCCTTTACTCTAACCCTCCAGCCCGCCGCACCGCCTCTCGGCCCTGCATCTCGGCGAGATCCTGGGCCCAGGATGTGTTTGGAGTTTGAGGATGGGGATGGGGAGTGGAGTCTGGGCTGGAGTTGTTTTGACGGGTGTGTGTGTTTGTGTTTGTGTGAGTGTGAGTGCTGCTTGAGTGGGTAGTTTGTGATGGTGTGGGTGTGTGTATACGTGTGTGTGAATCCGGGCGTGCACGTCCATGTCCAAGATTCTCACTTTGCAACGACTCAACATGCGCAATGTCCCCAACCGCAGATGCATCCCCAACTCGGCCCTGCGTCTCTTCACCCCCAACCCCAACCCCAACCACAACCCCCGCCTCATCCCTACTATACCGCGAACTCGAGCTCGAAAGCGGCGAACTCTGGCCACGCATCCGACTCTCTCTACCCAAGCAACCACTGCCACGGTCACCAGTACCCGTACCCGTACCCTCAGTCCCAGTTCGCCCGTCGCCGGTACCGGATTCATACGCACACTCCATGACACGCAGAGTCTCGGCCCAGTCTTCGAGGGCGCCGAGACTGGGTTCCTGGCGTCTTGTGCTGCGGGTTTGGGGGAAGGGGTTGGTGGCGGGGATGGAAGGGGGGATGGATAGGCTGGGTGGTGGATTAGGTACGCTGGCAGTATTTGATACCTCGTACGAGGCGAAAGTAGTGTTTGACAGGTTACTCGTTGAGATGTGCAATTTGCGGCGCGGACGACGGGTCGATGTTGTTGTGGATGGGGAGTTTGCGTTTGTGCGGCGGAGGAGGATGGGCGGGTTGGGGGTGGGTGTGAGTGTGAGGCCATTGGTTTCATTCTCGTGTGTGCGGTTGCGGTTGCGGTTACGGTTACCGTCGCCGTCACAAGGGACAGATTGGATACCCCCCGCCCGCGAAGGAGGCGTAGAAAGACCAGTAGATGGACTCGCGCTGTGTGTTCGAGGTCGACGTTGTGTGGTCCACGGTATCTGCGCCATTAGACTGCCTGGCTGTCTGACATTGCCACCCAACATCCGCATGAAATTCCCGTAGTCGTAGGCAAATTGCTCGTCACTGCCTGTACTGCTGCCATCGCCACAGCTTTCCAGCTTTGCCTGTCTATATGTGAAGATGCATGTCGCCCAGACGAGTTCATACGCGGGTGCGCTGAGTGCAAGGAGTGACTTTCTTTTGGTCTTCAATTCGCCGAGGAGTAAGTCGCGCTGTACATCCAGCAAAGTTTTAAACTCCAATGTTTCCTCGTCAATTTGCAGCCACTGATCCACATTCTGCTGTAAGATCTCGGCCGTGGGGATGCAGTTCAGACGCACCATGGCGGCTTCTTCGTCAGCCAGGACGTCCAATTTAGCAGGAATTTCACTGACCAGCACATCCTCCAGCGTGGTGAGTTGGCGTAATTCAACGACGATTTCGGCGGCTTGGACCCGGTCTTTTGTGCGTACCATGCTGTCTTTGAGACGGATTTGGTTGGGGCCCTCGAAGAGCTTGTGGATGCTGAGGCGGCTGGCGCAGACGTCTCGTGCGATGTCTTCAATGTCGCGCTTCACCTTTTCGTAAGCGGTCTTCGCGTCCCGGTCTGCTGGCGGGGCGAGGGAGCCCGAGACAGCGGTGCGTGGGACAGTAGTGATGGGTGTGGCGAAGCCGGAGGAGTCAGTCGGTGTGAGGGACTCCCAGAAACCGCCTGGAGAAAAAGGTGAGGCAGGGGCCGGAGAAACAGGTAGTGATATGTTTGGTTCGAGTAATCTCTCTTTGCCTTTTATGACTGATGTCACCAGGTCGCCCACCACGCGCAGTGTAGGGCTCTCGCTGGGGAAACTATCCAGGATGATTCCATCGCTAGGCTCCTCTCCAAGCCCAGTCTCAGTGCGAACAGTAAGCCACGGCTCGTGAGCTGAAGGTATTTGGCGCCGCTCGATGACGTGATGTTCTCTCAGATGGTCTTCTTTGGCAAAACGTTGTATTCTTCCCACTGCATTCTTCCACTTTGCTTCTTCCCCGAACCGTTGTTTCCAGACTTCTGCAGCTGCGAGAGCTTGCGCGCGATCTGCCTCACCGTCGACAAACTTGAGCGCGCCGCTGATGTGCGGTTTCTGATTCACGCTGCTTGGGGTGGGCGTGTTGACGCGAGACAACATTCGACTAATTTTCTCATGCGCAGGGTGTTCAAAGCTGCGGGCAGGCGTATGGCGACCCATAATGCACGCGGTAGTTGCCGAGAAAGCAGAAAAGCTCTAAGTATGAAGGTAGATTAGAGGGATTGAGACGGTTGCTAGCTTTGATGAGTGCGGAGGCTCCAGCGTTGACTTGGGACGACAAGCAAACGCTCGAGGCGACTGACAGTCCGTCCGACTAGAACTTGGGAAAAGACAGCACAAGAATGAAAAACACACGAACGTATGAATAGGTGAAATAAATCTATAAATTTTGAACTACCGTGGTATCCTTCTCTTTAGTCTAAAGTGGCATCAGTGCCACTATATCGATGCAAATGCATTCGCTAATCCAGAAATGTGAAAAGATTCGTATGTACAACGTTGAGAGCGCGATCAGCTTCGCGCTCCTCAATCACGCAGGAGATGTTGATCTCGCTTGCGCCTATTGTCATGTTAGTACTCGATTTATATTTATCAAAAGAATTATAACTTACCTTGGGAGATCATCTCGATATTGATGTTGTTGGTGCCCAGCACGCTAAAAAACTTGCCAGAAATGCCAATCATGTTCTTCAATTGCTTGCCTACTAGGCTCACAATCGCCATGTCGGGCACAATGTCAATAGCACCCAGCTGTCCAAGATCATTGACTGCGCCTTGGAGATCCTGGTCTTGAATCTTGTACTCGTCTTCGCCACCACCGCTCAAGAGCGCAGACTCTGAATGCAGAGCCATGGAGACATGGACCTCAGAGGAAGAAATCAGGTCCACAGAGAGGTGCCAGCGATCCAAGATGCTAAAAATATTCATGAGGAAGCCGTGAGCACGAGTGCGCTTGTTGCTGTGCACATTGAGTACAACAATGTTGTGCTTGATGGTCACAGCCGTGGGACGCTTGGGACGCTGAGCGTTGGCGAGCAGGCTGGAGGAGCGGGTGCGGAAAAGACCCGCATCTTTGAGGGGCGCATGACCGTTGATATCTTTGATATTATCGGGGAAGATGACAGTTCCAGCGTTTCGTGGGTTCATGACGTTCTTGATGCGAATAGGGATGCGGGCGCGAATCACTTGCTCCATGGTGAAGGGGTGGATGACTTCAGAACCGTAGAAGGTCAACTCAGCCGCTTCGGAGGGTGTCACGCTGGGCAGTAAGGCGGCCGTGGGCACCTTGCGAGGATCAGCGGTAAAGATGCCATCCACCTCTTTCCAGACTTGAAGCTCCTTCGCCCTGACTCCTACCGCGACCAGAGCAGCGCAAAGATCCGTGTATCCACGCCCAATGGACTCCAAGATGCCCCCGGGCACGTTGCCAAAGAAGCCAGTAATGACAGGAACCTTGTCGCCACATGCTTGCACCTCATTAGCCAGCGTCTCAGCCAGATCTTTGTAAAACTTCTCGTTCAGGCCCTTGGTCGGCGCATTGAACTTGATGACGTCGCAAAGATCGACGAATTGCGCTGGGGTGCCGCGGTCGTTGAGCAGGGCGGCCATGTAGCGACAGCTCAACTTTTCTCCCTTGCTAATAATCTTGTCCTCAACACGGGTCGTCACTTCTTCCAGGTGCTGCGCCGACTCCAAGATCTTGGTGAGGCTCTCGCACTCCATGTTAACATCTTCGACAAAGCCAGCAAGCACGTCTGGACTCTTCAACGTATCCCTCCCAGCCTGGATATGGTCGGTACGGATCGCCTCGACAATGTCGTCGTAGCCGCGGTGGCCAGGTTTCTCAGCAGCGCGAGCACAGCGGAGGAGTCGATTGGTGGTGCCCTCGAGCTTGGTGTTGTTGCTGCGGGCAGAGCACACGATAGCAGCACGACTGTCCTGGTTGCCAGCCCTAGTGAGCTGTTAGCACCCATGCGTCACTTCATTCGAACCCAGCAAAAATGTTGGGAAAGATCGGTCAGCACGTACTTGACAATGTCCGCTATGTTCTCCGCGAATTTGCCCACACTGGTGCCACCGAACTTGAGCACCACCCAGCCGCCTGGAAGATGCTTTTCTTGCGTGTGAGCTCTCCGCTCCGACTCGGACTTGTGGCCATTTGTGAGGATAGACATGGTTGGTGGAGGTGGATCGATGTGCTGCTTATTTCCAATCCGGTGGAATTCTTGCTACAGGCTATGTTTCTTTTGAGAAAGGAGTTTGTATAATAATGTCAATCTTTGGACAACGACGAGGTATGCAGTGGCCTAGGTGTGTGTGACGCGAAGGATGAGGTGTGGGACAAGTGAAGTAAGTCTACAGCAAGTCAAAAGCTGTTCGCTTGCGCTGATAAATCAGTGGGGGGAGTCAAACGTTGTTCCGCAATCGGTTCGTACTAAAATGACGCCCAACCGAAATAATACGAGCCGACTTTGGACCGCGGAAAAACCACCAAAGTGCACCACACACACACACACGCATGCTCCCACTACCAACTTGGCACATGAGACTTTTCTTCGGAACGGGTCGTTACACCTCCCGTCTGGGCTAGGAGTACCATTCAATGTCTTTGTGCTCGTTCGCTATAATTATCTACCCATCACTGGTTGCTACTCTATTGGCTTCAGCTCTACACAACCACGGTTCAGGGGACAGCCATCAACCCTTGACAGCTCATGCTCGCATTCTGGCGCAACCAGTACTCTACTCTTGCTTTGTGCTACTCTCTTGACCGATCAAAGATCCTGTTGCCCCAATCTCGTACCCCAGGATGTCGCTGATGATTGATCGCTGATTGCCAGCCAGCACTCTACCTAGTACCCACCAGCAGGGTATATACAAAGTCTTGTGCTCAGCTTAGAGCGCATAGGTATGTCGTCTGCCTCCTTGCGCAGTGTCGTTAGTTGGAAAATCCCTCCATCGGAACGGGGGCGCTGGGCCAACGGGCCAAACTCTCGGACGGTTGGTGGATATAGGGTGGTGGGCAGGCAGGCCTTGGAGATGTCGTCAATTCACGTGACCAAGAAACATGCAAATCATCCCAAGGCTGGTGGAGTCAACCTTGGCGTTGAACGCAAACAGCACCTCGCACACAGTTTCAATGCTTGCAGTACTAGGTACAATCATGCAGTGCTCAGTCTCTCAATCACTCGTCTTTTCTAAGGGGGGCAATATTTCATTTGTTTTTCCGCTTCATGTGTACTGCAGAGATGTTGGTATCAATCCGTCTAGCAGCAAGTCAAGTTGCCCACTGCCAGCCGCCTTGGGGAATGCATTCCTTTCGTCCTCCCCCTGTCCGCCAAAACTCCTGTGCATGTCCGTCCATAGTACACCATGTGTAGGTAGGTAGGTAGGTAATAGGCCACCCCCACACTTCCCTAGCGCCTTTGCGGCTTGACTCCATTATGAATGCATCTGACACAAAAGCGGGTCGACCAATGAAAACAAAAGTTAACATCATCGTCTGCGGTAAATGTCGTTGTTGTCGCGATTCCGATCGCGTCTCTCCGGACTTCTCGATCGAGTCCTGCCATCTCTCCTCTCTTTACCAAAATTCCTGCCTTCCCCCACCCTTTCACGATCACGCTCTCGGTCTCGGTAAGCTCGACTTCTCTCTGGACGATCGTCTGTATAGCCTTCTCTTGAGTTGCCAGAGTCGCGAGATCCATGGCGCTGTCGGTCATCTGGCTCACGTGATCGTCGTGGCCCCTCACCACCGTAGCTGGGGATATATGTGTCGCCGCCAGCTACTGGTGGTCTACGTCGATCATCCCCTGGTCCATAGCGTGGGACCGGTGGAAGTGGATGTCGACCATCGGGCGGTGGTCCTGGCAGATTGCTGTGTCGTGTGTCTGTGCCATTGCCCCAATTGGGTCTTCGCTCTCCCGGCGGAGGTGGTGGAGGTCTGTGATCATAGGGTACTGGCCGTCTATCATAGCCTCTTGGTCCTCGTTCAGCACCCTGGCGGGCCTCTGTCTTGAGGGCCATATCTTCGATCGCCGTTTTGCCAGGCGTGGGGTGGCGGCCCGTGCCCAGTCCATTCACCGTTGGGACCTCCACCCACTGTACCACCTTGTGGCGCAGGTGGCAAAGCTTGTTTTTGACCGCGTGCGTTTCGACGGTCCAGTTCGTGGGAGTCTGCGAAATGTGGAATGTCCTCTTCGCGCATTGGGAGGGGTTGCTCCTTGAAATACGGGTGGTCAATCGCATCCATGGCGTTGATCCGTTTCCGCCAGTCCAGTCGCATAAGATCCTTCAGGAGGGACAGACCCACGGGGGAAAGCTCACGGAACCTTGCTGCGAGGGTACCACTGCTCTGCGGAAACGCACGAATGGACTCGGCTCCCGGCAGCTGATCCCATCCGGGCATGGTTTCATCGTTGGGAGAGCCAACAAGCTCGAATATGATCTGCGCCTGGTGAATGTCGCTCTGGCCCGCAAGAATGGGCTTGCGCTTGAACATTTCTCCAAAAACGCAGCCTGCGCCCCACATGTCAATCGCAGGTGTGTACCTCCTCAGCTGCAGTAGCAACTCGGGCGGCCGGTACCATCTAGTTACCACTAAGCTTGTGTATTCTCGCTTCGCTTCGCCGTTGCCTCTCCCGCGCTGAGGCACCGGTTCGTCGTAGTGTCGGGCCAGACCAAAATCGGCTATTTGCAATCGTCCGCGATTATTGATGAGAAGATTAGCGGCTTTCATGTCTCGGTGTAAGATGTGGTTGTCGTGGAGATAGCGTAATCCTTTGAAGAGTTGCAGCATATAGCACTTGATCTGCGCTTCTTGAAACCGAACGTCTGGGTTGTCGAGGAGACCAGAGAGATCGTGATCCATGTAGGGAGTGACCATGTAGAGAATCGCACGCTTCCTGCCCTCGGCCTTTGGTCTCTCGACCGCCATCTCTTCCAGCTTGAGGACGTTGTCGTGCGAAAGCATCTTCAGCAGCTTGATCTCACGAAGCGCGGTGATGGGAAAGCCGTCCTTCTCGTTGTGCATCAGAATCTTCTTCATCGCGAAGATGCTGCCCGTAATGCGATGGCGCGCCTTGTGTACTTCGCCAAAAGTTCCTTCTCCGAGTTTTTGCATCATCTCGTACTCGCCGATCTTGCAGCATCCTTTGAAACGTCGCTGCAGACCGCGCGCCGCGCCGTCAGCTGCTGGATTTGCCATCGCAGCGGGCTCTGTTCTGTCTGGCGATAACGATGCGAAATGGGCGTGATGAAGGTGGCCTTGATGGGGGGGGGGGGGGTGAAGAGTTAGTAATAGGAGAGCTAACTTATAACCTCCTGCAGGTTACTAAGATCTATTTATTACTTCTCTAAGAGAACCATATAAGATTAAGCTTTAAGGGTCCTAGAGTATTTGCAATAATAGGAGCTCCGCCTTCTAATTAACCTAAGAAGGAGTTTTTATGCCTATGTAGTAGATCCTACCTATAGAAACCTCCTAAATACAAAAACGTTATTAAAGCTTAGACTAATATAGGTGACAAGCTTACTACTACTTAA